CCTATTTATAACAATTTATAATAAAGCATATTGTATAATGCATTACATATTGTTCTATTTTTTTTTCTAAAAATAAATTTCGATAGAATGTCGGAATATTTTTTTATGACAAGACTATAATAATATTATTATCTAGACTCAAGTTTAGGTACTACTACTAGGATATTATTGTTATTAATATTTAGTTGTTTATACAAAATATAATATTATGGGAATCCCGTATTATACCACTCGATGATTAAGAATTTTCAATAACAACACGCTCTACACTTTTCCAGAACATTGGCCGATACGGGCGATAACAGTACGATCGGTAGGTAATAGGTATATATTTCTTAAACTTATAGGTACTTACTGATGGAAACTTATTTCAAGATCTTTGCTACCAGAATTTCTCGTACGACCACAAATATAACAACTCGGCATAATGGTATACAAGTTAACAACAGAACTAACAAAATATTAACTTTAAAACTATAACACATAAGACGTAAGTACATAAGTGACAAATGTTAGTCTTCTAACAGTAAATACTAAATGTGGACTCAGTTGATGTATGACGATGTCTTATCATTCAGTAATAATAATACCGATAAGATAATAGTGATAATAATATTTTCTGTATCATCAGTTTACAGTTTAACAAACATAAATCAATACTGGGATTTTTGTTTAGTCATAAATGGTTACTATGKTACACGACCTTTTGCTGACTTCACGTGAATAGAACTATAGCCACCCCCTGACATATACATACAGTTCCAGATAAATGCTTTAAGTGTAAATATAAAAAATATAATAAAATATATTAATGCACTGATGTTTTAAAATTATTTTTTTTCATCCATTTGAATCTAAAATACAAAACAATTCCACCTTGTCCTTAAATGCGAAAGGAATCTGTCTTAGCCTGTAAAATATGGGCGTAGCATTTTCCTTCAACCTAATTTTAAATTTTCTATACACAAATTTACCTATATCATCATTAAACAATTTTGAATATTTATTTTTTATCTGTTCAGAATTAGGTTCACTATAGTCTATCAAATTGATATTAGTTAATTTTATGTTAAATTTGTCCATAATATTCTTTATACTTTTACTTCTTAATAATCGAGAAAAACAAACTAAAAATTAAGGTAAAAACGGGAAATTTTACTCACACTCATTTTTCGACAAAATCGATTTTGGTTTTTGATGTAACTTTAAAACA